ATATCCGCATGTCCGAGCTGGGGAAAAAAAAAATAAATTTGCGCATATAATTAATATATAATACGTGTATTCGGGCCGAAAGTGTGCCCATACAAGCCGTGTTTGTACATAATTTTTCAACTCTTTCAACGCCTCGAATCGCCTCATTATGTTGGGCTCTCACTCTCTCGCGATCGCGATATAGGCAATTGCGTGCGTGCGCGCTATATAATATACAAGCCTATGCCACGCGAGAGAGGATGTATAAATAAATATCTTTTTTCGTCCTTTTATATTTTCACCGATGATTCAATCGCTCCAGCCGCATTAACATTCTGTTATGAGATTTTTTTTCTCTCTCTCTCGTCCTCATCTCCCTCTTCTCTTCGTCTTCTTCTTTCTCTTCTTTTTCTTCTCGCGCAGAGATCGCTCGTATCATGCACTCTTACTTTTTTCCATCTTTCTTCTGCATTCGTTCATTCACGCGAATTCATAATCGAATGCGCGCGCGAGTATAATAGAGTCAAGCGATTTTCATAATAGCGAGAGCAAACAAACGATTACGATAGAGATGGAAGCTTTTTTACTTGTATGGCCAACGGCGAAAGAGATGCGGGTGAAGTTTTTCTTTTTATTCGGCGCGCGTATAGTACGTAATCAACGCGCGAACAGATCGATACTACTCGCTCTCGATGTATCCCCGCAGCAACGCTGAGCCACATATAGACGCCCGCGTGTCTGTGTGTAAATCGCGCGAAAAGCCCGATAGCGATCGTTTATAAATCTTTCTCCTTGCAGATCCTTTTTCATTTTCGTTGATCGCGCCGTATCTGTACGCGCGCCGCGAGCGTCGAGATCACAGGCCTGCAGCAGCGGCAGCGCGGCTAACAGGTAGGCATTATCGTCTCAGCCGCACGCGCGTTAAATAGATATATCGCGCCGATCCGCGCGCGCGATATATATTATACGCGTCGATCTCTCGCTATCACACGGCTCTATATATATAGGATATGCATATCTTCTGGTTCTTTTTTCTTTCCACCTGCTGTCGCGTTTTTATGCATCCACTACTTGTCTTTTATCTTTTTTTTTTGTCAATTTTTTTGTTTTTCACTTCGTTGTCGAACTCACATTTCAAAATGAAATTACCAAGTCAAGTTATAAATAAATCCTTTCATGAGTAGTGGTGTTTAAAAGCCCCGCGGCCCTGAAAGTCGTTCGCCTTGTAAACCGATGTGTCTTTGATACGCGCGGCACGATGTCTGCCGCTGCCCGCGTGCACGCATGCATGCCATGCCATGCCATGATGCCATGCGCGCATTGCCACCGCACACAGCACAACTCGAGCGCATGATGAAAATTATAATAACGATCTACCTATACCGATCGACATCGTCGCACGGAGCGATTTTCCCTATCGCTTGTCGATCTTCGATACTTACTCATATATAAGTGATACTAACTATGTATTCTTCCCTCGTGCGCGAGTCTTGAAATACATTTTCATGGTTTTTAGGAACGACGACGAGGAAAAATATCAATCAATCCGTGCTGCGCTGCGCGAGCTTAAAGCCAAGCGAGGCTTATTACATACGAAGCTCTTTTTGCACGGATTTCCGTAATCTTATCTTTTTGCACCTGAGAGATAGAAAGAGAAGCTCTTCCGAGAGCTGAAAGGATATATTTGTAAATATAAATAATCTCGAGATGCGCGGCGGCGATTGCACCGTGTATAACTGGATTTTTACATCCATTAACTCGCCTCCTATGTTTTTTAACGTTAGTTTACTTTTGGCTATAACAAATTTTTATAATGATGGCTTTTATATATAAGCCGCACAGTTGCGATATTGCATATAGCTTTTTTTCAAAATATTAATACACAAATAGACCGTCGAAAAAATCTAGCCTAAAAGAGGGTAACAAATGCCTGCGCTGATTCATCGTAAATAAAAGGATGAATATCAAGACTTATTCCATGTATCAAGAGAGTTCAGTCGGCGAACCGAGATTCAAATTTATATAAGCTCGAAGAAATCAATATTACCCTGTGATAATGATATGCATTCATCGTTAAAATATTATAATGTCAGGGCAATTAAACGGTGCATTCGTATGTGTGTGTGCGTAAGTCAATATACGCGCCTGACTCATCCTTGTTTTGACCCATAAATTACACAACTCGAGCTGCTCTCTTCGTCGATCCCGAAGACGTGTGCGTGCGAGCGACGGGTCTATATAAAATATACACACCAACATCAATTTGTCCTCGTCGATCGCGTATAATACGCATGCACCAAATGCCGATTGTTATTGCATCAGTTTTTCGCGCTGCGTAAATCGTCTAATAAATATATCTGAACTCGATAGTGCGAATCGATTATAATCGATGAATTTATACCTTTATTGAAACGAATTGGCCGCGATTCGTTCGGCGTTGCTCTGCATCGCTGCTTTGACATTGTTTATAATGCGACCACGCGATACGTAATATCGAGTGTACGCGGCATAATCGACTAAGTTTTCGGCGATCGTTATCCCCGTTTTATCAAAAATCGTTCGAACAATAATGCGAAAGTTCGTTATTTTCTTGAAAAGGTGATAAACAAGAATAAACATTTATCTATCGACTTTTGGCAATTCAATGATGAATGACCAATTGACAGCAGCAGCTTATGAATTTCTGGAAACGTCGAAGTATTGACTAGAAATAATTGATGTAAATAAAAACAATACTCCTATCGCTGGTAGAGATACTCAACATTTTATGGCCTTATAATGCTCCAAGTTTTTGTTGCTACTCTTTGATGATATAAAAATCGTACAAACTACCATTCAAACACTTTCTTAGTAATTATTTTTGTTTTTCTATCCGAAAAATAATGATATGGTAAAGATGGCTGAAATCTCTTCTACATCGTTGACTTATAATAGTATGTTTACTTTGCCACTTGCAGATTTCCAGCTACAAGTGCTCGCCATCTAGTGGTGGAAGCTCAAAGTAATATTAATGTATTCAGAGTGATTAAAAAATCGTTTAAATTTTTAAGAACAATTCAATTGTCAATTTAGACCATTTAAATTAAGCTTAATATTTTTAACATATTTTTAACCTAAAAATGGCCAAAAACCAACCAAATAATATTAATGTATTTTGAACGATCGTTTTCCGTATATAAGACAATAATTAATGTTTAGCATTTTAATGCATTTATTTAGGAAAATTCATGTTACTACGAAAATATTATTTATATCGATTTTCTTAACTATTTCTCCAAAGTCCAAATGCAAGTTAAAAATAAATTCTATTATAATTTATTTTAAACTATTGATGGTTACCAAGTGTAACATTAAAAAATTTGCCGTATCGAAACAAGGTGTGTGCACAAAGTTTGATCGGAATTGTACTCATTTACTTTATTTACTTGGACAAAGTTACATACAAAAACGAGCATTATCAGCCGGGACTTTTTTCAAATTGGTACGTAACGTAGGATGTGGAAAGGGTTTTTTTACATATCGACGAATTTTTCCACGAATTTCATCACACAAGAGCAGAAATTGTTCTATCTGTGCTGCTTCTCAAAAAGTTGCATAAAATGCACGCGATGCAGCGTCGGCGGCCGCGCACACTTGTCATTTCGTTTCTGGGGTTTTCCTACATGCACACGAGCTCTTGTGCTCGCGCAGACACACACACATGACACGCAGAAACTCGCATTTATGATTATACTCTCGGCCTCGTTCGGCAGCGCGCGGAATGCAGCTGTGCGCGCGAGTGCCGCTGCGCTTATATAGAATCGCGCATCGCCCGTACGAAAATGTAACGATTTCGCGCTCGATACACACCGAAAGGAAAAGAGAGAAGAAAAGACGTTGAAAAAAATACGAAGAAGAATAAAGAAGTAATAATTCATAAAAGACGATACACAGAAAAAATACTTGATAATTTAAAGTACATGCGTCGTGGCTTACGTAGTTTTTTTCACCCTATAACCGGTGCTAGTGTAAATTTATAATACGCTTATATATTTACGTCGTTGCGCTCGTGCGAAAGAGAGAGAGAGAGAGAGAGCAAAAGAGCGAAAGACGAGAGAAACGGAGCTAGCGAACGTGCCGCGTATAAGCGTACTTTGGCAGACTGCTGGGCGCTGCGATGCAACGGCAGGCGAGACTGCGTGGCATTTTGCTGGCCGCGTACTATACGCGTTTCTCCTCTCTTCAACGTACACATTATACGCGCACACGTATATATACGTACACATGCAGCGAGTGTCGATCCGATTCAATATCCGATCGATCGGAACCTGGCTGCGCGTTAGAATCTGCCGTGTACGACGAGAAATATCCTGCCGAACGATCCTTGCGAGCTCTTTAGAGAGCCTCGAGCCGCCGCGCGTGCATTAAAATACTTGCGGCCTGTCGTCATCCGTTTTTCCCCTTTTTTTTTTCTTCAAAATTTCGCCCGGGAAGATTTTTTCATTTGTCAATCTCTTCTCTTACCGATTCGGTGTGTTTATTCGCGAAGACGCGCAATTTTCCTACTCTCTCGTAGATGCGTCGTGTCGAGAGAAAAACAAGGAATAAAAGATGTGACTTGCGCGAGCGTCGGATTGACAAATATTTTCTAAATCGTGAATCGGCGCGCTTGACATAGATCCCCGTAGATGTGTGTGTGTGTGTGTGTGTCAATGTGTGTGCGCGCATGCGAGAACTAGTTTATTTGAAAATGTTTACACCTTTCGCGAGCCAGCGCGAACGAGCGAGCGCGTGACCTCGCGCGGTGTGTATTAGTTAAGTAATAATTTTTCGCACGCGCCTCGTCACATGAGTCACCCGAAAAACCTGCTCGGAATTGACTCAGCTCGCCGCACGACTCTCTGCGGGCCTTTTTTTCCTCGCTCGCTCTCTTTTTTTTCTTCGGCCCGCGAAGATCGTCAAACCAAGCGATACTTCTCTCAGCGATTTCGATACGATGTTATACGTTTAATTTTGATCGTCAAAAATTGTAAAAGACTTACCCTGAAAGACAAATCGTTGCCGACGATCGAAAAATCTTGAGTAATCACGCACCGATTTTTTTTCGTTGATTTTTCTTGCTGCACAGTCGCGAGCGAAGCGCAAGGGTTGGTAAAACGTGGAATACGGCAGGGTGTCGAGGAGCTCGCGTCTATTATATACCCGCTGCTGCGGCCGGTCTACCTCTCCTTTGTGCATATGCTCCAGTGTACGACACGGGGGGCAATAGGAGGTAGTCGTTATTTGCACGTGTGCGCAGGTACACCCCCTACCCTCTCTCTCTCTCTCTGCAGAAACATGGCGAGCCAAGTGTGTGGTAGCACGCGAGCAGATCGAGCCGAGAGAAACGCAATTTTCCAATAATATTGTTCGCGTCCAGTGGTAGTCTCCTCCCACATTCTTGCGGGCATTATTAAACCGCCGCTGCTCGACTGCTACAGTTTCCATTTTGTATTATTATCACTTTTTTTCTTTATTGAGCTTTTCCTTCGCCGTCGCTCGTATAGAAATAAGTGTGGCAATGCTTCGTGCATATTCATATAGGTGAGTAAACCTGAGAAATTTCAAAATTTTTAGCAAGTGGCTTAAATCTCGTTTTATAAGTATCGGAGTCGTCTTTGAGATTAATCTTCAAATTAGTTCAATGTTTTGTCAATTTTTCAGGAATTCTTTCATATCTCAATGGATTTATAACTCACAAATTAATAAATCATTAAAAGATGAAAGCTCCGTTATTATTATAGTGGTTTTTAATGATGAAAAATAAACTAGCTGCATTTCACAATTGTTTCGAGATTAGTTTAGATGATTTAAAAAGGGGATACTTACTTAAGAATAAGTTGCGGTATTGTTTAGCTATACTTTTATAATTTTGATAGATAGTGCATGACTTCAACAAAAATAAATTATCCACTACTTTTCTAAGCTTAATTATGATAGAATTAAAGTTAAAAATACTTTCCAAAATTTTTACTTATAAAAATAAATATTTAGTTATATATGACCAAAGTTTTGATGTCAATTGCAACTCCACTTATAATATGTACCGCTTCATAAAACATCACACACATTTTTTATAAGAAAATTTCGTTAATGAAAAATATGACAAAAAAATTTAGTACGTATCACTGTCTCCTTTTTTTTGTGGAAAATGGCAAATTTAAAAAAGTTTGAGCTCGTCATCGAAAAATCGAGAAATCAATAATCAGTAACATGTTTTAGTTTTTCGCTTAAAAGTGTGTTTAGACAATTTTTGACGAGTTAAACATCGAGCATTCAAAGCCCAAGAATGCAGTACGGCCGAATTTGCTCGGAGAGATTACACGTAATTCGTCCCACATATGTACAACAGATGAATGGGTCGGTGAAAGGATGCGAAAGTGAATTTCATCCGGTCTTCGCGCGGGCTAACGATTTTTGCACTATCCATAGCGTGTACGCGAGCACTCGTGCTCGAGTTTCTCTCTTGCTCTCCCGCGAGCAAGGATAAACGGCGCTCGAATTAATTTTTTTCAGTAGTACAAACGAACTCGAAGCGTAGGTGCGAGGCGCGACGAGCTCACGAAAGTCTGACGTAATCAAACCATTGCTACTTAAAATCGGCGGCCGATACCGCGCGAATCCACGCGGGTGTCACGTTTTTGTATTGTTCTAAAACGAAATCAGCTCGCATTGATAACGACGATTACAAAAGAAAAAAACAACAAACGTTTCCACGCTAAATTTCCACGTGAGATTACCGTCTTTCCTTTTTTTTGTCACTTTTATCGGAGATTTTGACAGTGATGTATATAATTATCGATGATCGCTCGATCCGATCGCGCTCACAATACAACGAGCTATTTTTGGCCAAAGCGAGCGAGCTCGATTAGATCTATCCGATCGATCGATCGAGCACCATTTGCCGAAAAAAAAGAGGGACAGAGAGAAAGATCGGGAGAACTGCTTCTCTCATTCACGACTCTTACGTGCGTGTGTTTATATATTCGTGCACTCATCGCGGTCGAAAAATTTCGCGCGGGTTCAATGACCTTCAGGACATTCCCGGGGACGCGCTCGATAGTATATTGTAAATGCGCAGTTGCATCGAAAATTACAGAGTTGACTCGGCGCATCAGCCACGCTAGAATGAGATAGTAAACAAATTTAGAAACCTGCGGATCAGCGTTGTTTGAATGAAGACTCATCGTTGTGCTCTTGTGCACGTTCTGATTACAGAACAGCGTGGCGGAGATCCGCGGTACATTGACGTCACGATATGAATGAATTGCGAATAATATATAATCCTCCGTTGCCGAGCTCGGCGATTCTCGGTTTTAAAAATATTATCGTCGTATATATTTTCTGCGACTGTTGCTGCGCCGCTCCGCCTTATACCATACACTCGCGCGCATTAATGATCTCTGCATTAGTGCGAATTGATAAAAGTGAGTCAGCTCGTTAACATATTATATATATAACGCACATAATATATATGTATTTATAATGAAAAGCAGAGAGAAAAAAAATCCGTGATATTATATATATGAAATGTTATCTGCCCATGACTACTAGAAACCACTCAAGTCTCACGCGCTGCACTGATTATAATTGTAAGCGTAAGTGTAAGCGTGTTTGCAAACACAACCGAACAAATTGCATACTTACATGTATACATACACGTTTCGAGGAGAGAACTTTCGTAACTTATTTATGCATACAACACACAAATGCATACATTATACGAGCGATTCATTTTGCAAAATATGCAAACTTACGCGCGAAAATTACAAATGGAAACTGTTAGCGCGCTCGCGCGTCGAGCTCGCAATTATTATGGCACAGATGTATCGGAAAATTTTCCCGCGGCCGCGTCGCATGCGCGTATAATAAGCTCGATGAAATTCTTCAAACTTTCCAAAACACAGTTACGGAATTTGAGAAAGCCGATCCCGTATATAGTACGCCGTTGCCGCGAGCGCGCCGTATATCGGCAACGCGCACGATAAATATGTAATATCCTTGAAAACTCGCGGCTTATAATCCCTCGGATGCTTTTGTATGCGTGCGTGTGCTGCACTCGTCGATTGACTGGCAGCAGCAGCAGCAGCAGCAGCAGCAGCAGTCGCAGACATTGAAAAGTTGTTGACAATCATCCGCAAAACCCTTTAGCTCATTAAATTTTAAATCCTCGCTCTTGCTCCTTCTGCCTTTTATAATATGTGTGTATACAAGTAGGCACGATGCGTGTATAGCGCGTGCAGCGCTGATCGCGGCGAGCCAAACCTACCGCAACGGATTTTAATCGAATGCAAAATACATACAATCAAAATGTATATACACACACATATATAAGTATTGAGACGTCCCGAGCGTGTGCTGTTTTTTCGCTCGATCTCGCAGCGAGGTAGCTGCTGCTGTCCCGCACGTGATTAAAATGCCATTAAACGTTCGACCCTTTTTCTCTTACGATTTTTTCGATTGTTTTTTCTTTTTTAGTGAGCTCAACCGAGAGCACAAAACTGCACCGTGCGTTTGGAATTTTCATGAAGTAGCTTAACGCAGACAGTCCAAGACAAGAGTCACGGCTGCCGTGTGTACGCGCGCGCGTGTGTGTGAGTACATATAATGCATACGGTGCAGTATATATACGCGAGCGTGTGCGCTGCATATATAGTGCGTAAAGAGTCGCCAGTATGTCTCGCGTGCTCGCGATGCCGCGCGCCGCGCTGTCTGCCTTCGGCCGCGTACACAAGCGCAGACTTTTCTCTCTCTCTCTCTCTTCGGTTTATTTAATTTTTTTTTATCGTTGCTGATTTTTTCTTATTCCTTTTTTCCGTTCGTTCGTTCGTTTGTTTGATGCTCACTCTGTCTCTCTTACTTGTTGTGCCTCGAGGCGAAGAGGAGGAGCAGGAGGAGAAGGAGAAGGAGCGATGACGACGACGACGGCGGCATTTTATATTCTACTCTTTGGCATTCCCTCGCGTACGCGATCCTCTGCGTGCTAGTGTGTGATTTCTTGCGATGGATGAGCGCAACTCTTTCGATCGCTCGAGCTAGCTCCTATTATATCGCATGCGTTATATGCCAAGAGAACAAGAAGACCACGAAGGAGGACGATGAAAAAAGGAGAGAGAGAAAAATCGTAGCAGTAGCCGATGCACGCGGGAGAGAGAGAGAGAGATATTATGCGCGTGAGTCATTGGCTGATAATGGTGATGATGGTGGATGCGCGAGCAAAATCAGCGGCAGCATTCGAAGTTTTATAACCCTGAATAATACGAAAAAAGGGCGATATAAAGCCCGCGCGGGGCCCTTTTATTGGCGATTGATTTATTGACGATCATCCGCACGCGCGCGTGCAAAAGTCGAAAACGAAGCTACCAACTACTTAACCGCGATGCGCTGCCAATATCGTGCGAGCAACTACGCGCGGCATGTAAATTTATAATATACCAGCGCAGCAGCGCAAGATGAGCTGCTCGATCGTCTACTTCTCCTTCTCCGACTGACTATTTTTTTTTCGCTCATTCTCGTTATTACTCGCGAAGATCTATTGCGCGGCATAAGAGAGTGAGAGAGCTAGTTTTCTTCTATTTAAGCTTATCAATCGGCGACGACGACGACGACGACGACTCGGAGCGAACTGCTCGCGTGTACGTAGCTCGTTTTCGCGCGCGATAGCTATGTATTTATACACAAATACGCACGTACACACGTACTCCGGATCGTATATCACTTTTTCGGATGCGCCCTTGAGCCAGCTCAAGAACGACAAAGATGATAATTTTTTGTTGCTGTTGTTGCAGCGCGTTCGCTTCGCGCGGATCTCGTTTAAATCCCGCGAAGAGCTCGAGAGTCGCCGTACTCTACGTATAATATTATGTATGCCAGTGCGCGCGGCCGCGCCGTAATCACGTTTCACACTCGCGCGGCTTTTCTCGATGCGTATATATATATATAATATATAAGCAGCACGACAAAAAGGTACACAACGAGTAAATATTATAATCGTTGCCACGTATCGTCTGCCGTGCAGTTTGCATCGACGGTTTTTTTCTTTTTCTTTTTTTACTTTCTACTTTATTATTTTTTTTTTTCCTCGACAACTCGATAATCATAAGGACACGTGTCGCGACGCTGCGCGGAAAGAAGGTATATATATAATACGAGTACATTTTTAGCGCGGCATCCGGGAGATCGCGCGCTCGCGCCGGGACACAATCGTCACGGGTGGTCCCACCATTATTACGCGTGTATAAAAAATAGGAGAATAAGCGCACAAGGCCGTATCAATCGAATGAATTTTCACGCGCTAAGGACGATTTGGAGCCGATCCAGATGTCCGCGGTATAAATATACATCGACGCACGAAGACGCGCGTTGCGTCTGACCAAAGTTCCGCCTTACTACTTGAGTCACTCACGAGTCGGATCGGCCCAGGGCAATTGATGCAGCCTCGATGCCAGCCCTCTCGAAAACGGAGTCGTACTGCATTAGGTATACAAGTCGATCATCATTTGCGAAACGATCATTATTTTTATCACGAAAAAAAAATACTTTACGAAAAGTATAAACGGAGCAGCTCTGGATGATACTGTACGGCATCGCTGTGCGTAATCGTAACGAGCTATTCATAAAATATACTATATAACTATAGTACGAACGAGGCGAATACGCGTACGCGCGTCAGGTCTTGTAGAGCGAGTTTAAAGTCGATAAAAATAATGAAATCGGCAAGCCCCGCGAGCGTGAGACGACGAACGTGCCTCGAGACTTCGATCAACCGAGAAATACGTTCTCTCACTCGCTCGTTCTCAGCCAGTCTGCCTGTCTCTCTCTCTCTCTCTCTCTCTTTCTCGCGCTCGGTGCCACGCGGTCTGCCAACGACGTTGTGCTGTATGCATCATGAGCTATTATATACAGAGAGAGAGAGAAGCTCCGAAGTATTATAACGACTATGCGAACGACGACGCAAAGATCTCTCTCTCTCTCTCTCTCTTTCTCGTGTGTATAATATAAAGAAGACGAAGAAGAAGGAAAAGAAGAAAAAAAAGAGACAAATGGACAAAACTAGTCCAACGGCCTGTGTATATAGCGCACCGATATATACGTTCTCGATCTTTCATTGCTCGCTGGCTGCTGCCGCGGCAATGAATATACATATCGCCTATATCTATATATACTCTGCGCGCGAGGAACTGCACTCGCGCTCGAGCGTGCGTGCTTAAATTGCTCATCTCGCGCTGAAGATTAGTACAAACTCGTTGGCGATATTTTTCCTTTTTTCCTTTTCTTTTTTTTTTTTTTTTTTTATATATTTCACTAGAGCGACGACGAGAGGAGCAACGAGAAAGAGAGAGAAGAGCGCGCGTTTTATCGGAGCGTAATTGCATGACATTATAGCACACAACTGGTCTTTGGCGATATATACATGTATGTATGTATGTATGTATTATATATGTAAGCGCGCGTAGAGTATATTCGCGCTCGCCAACTCAATGCGTCGATGTATTCTTCGCGCAAAGCCGAGAGAACCTTCGGGAATTCATGAGATTTTCCTTTCTTTTTTCATTTTTCATTTTACGTTTTTCTTTCGATCGGTCTTCTTCTTCTTTTCTCTCTCTCTCTTTCTCGTGTATACATATTGTACGTAAACCTCGGCTACGTACGCGCGCTATCCATATATTTATATATGCGGCTTATTGAAAATTGTAAGAGCGATAAGTGTGTCTCGTTAAGTGCATTTTTCGGACCGCCGCATGCGCGCGCGTTGCCAATTGAAATCTCCGTGCAGGCTTTCCTCTTTTTCTCTAACTCTCTCTCTCTCTCTCTTCTCTCTATAATCTCGCGCTCGCTACGACTACCCTATTTTACGTAATGGACTTTTTCTAATTTTTTCTAATTATCGTACGAGCGAAATTATACAAGAATTCACACCTCGCTTTACTCTTGCTCTCGAGGCCCGAATACCATCCCAAAATTATTATAAAACATTGTAGGCCGCGCACGTAAATTTGTGTACATTTTTTGTTGTTGACGATGCTCAAACGTATTACATGATAGGCATATACTCGGATAATTTTTTTTTTCTATCTCCATACGAATCGGCCGTTACGATACGACACGTAATACGAGTGAACGAAATAAAAAATTGACAATTCACCATTTTTTGTTTCTGTCTCGATATCTTTCGCCGCTCGTCCGAAATCATGCTCGTAACGCACCTGTGCGCGGCGTTGCGTCAATTATCTTGATACGCAGATGTAACTATATGCAACGCGACTCGAAAAACTATTTTTAATAGGACGAGAAGACTCGCGAGCGTGCAGCTATTAGCGCGCGCGCGCGCGGACGAGGAACGACGACAAAAAAGCAGAAGAAGTAATAATGTATAACGAATCGAGCGCGCGTATTTCAACGAGCGCAGCCGAACGATACTTCGATGTAGCGTATATTGATTCGCCGATTTATATATCCGAGCAGAAATTGATGCCGATCGCCGAAGAGTTAATAAACGTATACAGAGTCTGTATCGATGCTTCGTATATTACATGACTCCGTCTTTATCGCGTTCATGTGCGCGTGTGTGTGTGCGTGTGTGCCTGCGTTCCAAATCGCGCGACTTTTTGCGACTATATGTAATTAATGAAACGTCGTTGAAAATTCATGATATATATTTCTACACTAGGTCTTTGAATCGTAACGAGCTAGATCGTGTAAGCCTGCGCAACGTATAAATATTACAATCCAGTCATACGGACGATCTGTTTTCTGGCCGCGGCTCTACCTCATTGATAAATGACATTCGTATTCGTATAAACACACACATAGTTTTTTTCTCCTTCTGACGTGCGTCATCAACAGCAGCAGCAGCAGCAGATCTAAAAACACGCGACGCGTGAATACATGGAGCCGCGCACGAGACGAATAAAAAAGAGCTCTCTTCAATCGGCAAATTAGAAGAGGCTCGGGGGGGGGAGGAAAAGTCGACCATCATCTTCCACGACCCACCGTGCACAATTGAGAAAGTAACGATGCGACGACGCCAGCCCTTCAATTTGGTTTTGTTTACGCAGCGCGACGGGCTATTTTTATGCTCGCATAATGGCACACACGCGGTTAAAGGGTAGCGCGTGCGGATAATACGAGAACCCGTTGGCGTCGAAAAATAGATGTACAACGTTCGCCATCAAAGAGCCAACTGTCTGCGCTATTTTCTCATCGGAATTGTCGATTTACGCTGTTTCAGGAACAGAACCGCACGATGCGCGACTCGAAGAGACGGCCGAAGTCCGCGGGTCGCTGCGTGGCGATCGTGAGCAGGAGTCATCCGGCCCACGGCGCCTCGGGCGTGCTCTTGAACGACGGCTGGATCCTGAGCCACGGATCGCTGCTCGCGCCGTATCTGCGCGTCCGCGAGGCCCGCCGAGACAGAGACGTCGACGACGAGCTGGGGGATTTTTTCGACAACGAGGTCGCCGCGGACGGCTCGATCGCGCGGCTGCCCGACCATCTGCAGGATTATCTTCGATTCGCGGTGCACGTCCGATCGAGGTACGACGAGGGGACAGAAATAAAAGAGAAATAAACGAGCGTCGGAGGAAGATATTTAATACTCCGGTTTTCTCGCGATTTTATTCGTTATACGCTTTATAATCTTGCAGCGAAGGAGATGTTCGAGAGGACGAGGCAAGCTGTAAGCTCGAGTCCGCCTGGAGATGTCCGCTGCTGCGCGAGAGCTTCGGCGGCGATCTGCTTTTCTCCTGGAATTTCGCTAAGTCGTCGAGCGGCAGCGGCAGCATCCGATCGATGCTTTCGTTGTTTTTGCTCTTGAGAATGGACTCGGACGAGCAGAGGGACTCGGTCGTCGGTTCCGACGCTGCCTTGAGGTACAACGTCGTTCAACTAGTGCCTCTCAATTCTATCGCGTACATGATACATTATGTAAATTACATCCGCAGCCGATTCTACTGGGAGAATTTCGAGCCGGGCGTGCCGGCGCTGCCGTGCCGAGGCGACCCGCTGGAAATCGAGTCGACGCCCTTCGGCAATCCGACCTTTCTCGGCTCCGTGTCGAGGGGCATACTGAGCAACGCCGTCGGCGAGTGCGACTGTCTGCTCGTCACCGACGCTATGGCCGTGCCCGGCTCCGAGGGTGCGCCCGTCTACGCTCTCCAGTCGTGAGTGTACTTTTTTTCTCTCTATCTTTTTTCCCTTCTCTCTTTCTCTAAAAAAAAAAGCAACGGCATACAAATATTGCGATGTAACAAAAACTCCTACGATCGCGCGCAGGAAAAAGAAACGTCGACTGTGCGGCATGGTAATAGCGCCGCTGAGCTGGTGTCGCGGCGAATGGGTCGACTTCACTTTCGCCGCTAATTTGCGCGCCTGCCTGGCCGTCCACGCCAGCGTCGAGCTCGGCGCATCGTCTTCGTCGTCGTTGCTGCTCGCGCGAGAAAACAAATGGGCCAGCTCGAGTGCACTTCTGCCCGGTAATTATCAGCGTTCCACGTTACGTCCTCGCATATTTCTCCCGACGCTAATGATAACAATGCGATTTTGCTTTTCGCGCCAAAAATGTGTACACATAGAGATGCTGGATCGCAGCCTGGTCGTGGTGAAATGCGGACCCAATTGGGGCACCGGTGTAGTCCTCGACGTGCCGAGCGGCACGATCATCACCTGTTCCCACGTCGTTCGCGAGGTATGTACATAATTTGTCATCGAAAGAGCGAAGACCAAGAAAAAATCGACGTCTATATCCTCGAAATGTTATATAACATTAATATTCTCGAGTTTATAATAAGAAAAAAGCAAAAAAAAAAAAACGACACATACTTGTGTGAGAGAATGAAAAAAAGAGAAAGAGGCTGATTCATCTTCCTTATCGGCGAGAAATTTTTGTTAAAAATATTTTATACGCTTTATAAATGTTACGTGAGTCAGAGAATAATCAACGCGGATTTTCGGTGCGTTACGCACATTGTCCTGATCAATCAAGGCGAGCGGCGGACGAGTTAAAATAGCTCGAGTCGGCGAGACCGAGGACAGCGACGATGCCAGCTGGAGCATCGACGGCGACGACGGTGGCGGCCTCACAGCCAAAGTCATTTACAGGACGAGAGACGGGCAGCCCTACGATTTGGCCGTGCTGAAACTCGAGCCCGCGCAATTGGATCTCAAGGCGCTACGCATGGCCCGTGGACTGACCAAAAAAGGTACGTCATATGGCTTTGTCTTTCTTTTTTTCAATACATTTTCATCGTCTATAAGGATGAAAGGCGAACGTTTGCGAGTCGCGTGTCGTTTAACGATTTTTCATTAGAGTATTTTCTCTCTCTCTCTATCTCTCGTCGCGCGATCGCGATGACGACGATCCGCTTGATGGACGAACGAGGTCGAGCGAAAATGAAAGTCCGTATATAACGATTGTCATAGAGAATCGACTCGATAGAAAGCTAAGGAAGGTCACGTTTACGCGATCGTTTGCTCTTCCAGCGTTGAAAAAAAATATAAAAATAAAAAATGAAAAATTAGAAGAAAAGCCAGAGTACAGCTACTGTCGCACGCTGCGCCTTAACGAGATTGTATATGAATTACTTACGATACACACTATGACAATTGTCAAGACAATTGATCAATGTCGCTATGCAATGTGTCGTGTGCGCTCGCGCGAGTAACGCAACAATTGATGCGAGTGAGAGAGAGAGAGAGGCAAACTTAATTGACCCGACATAGTTTCGCCATCGTCCGCACTTGAGAGATAATGAAAAAGAGGCGAAAAAAAAAACACAAACAAAATGAGATAGGAAAATGTAGGAGCAATCGTTAACTGCGTGCAGGCGCGTCGGTGCTTGCGGCGGGATATCCGTTCTTCGGCTCGGAGCTGTCGGCCAGCTGCAGCCTGGGTACAGTGTCGCGCTCCGAGCCGGCGATCCTGCAGACGACCTGCTGCGTGCAGAGCGGCAGCAGCGGCGGCCCCGTGCTCGCCTGTGGCGGCGGTAGTCTCGCGCCGCCCGAGATCGTCGGCATCGTCGTGTCCAACGCCGTGACGGCCAGCGGCGATCCCAGCGCCAGGCGGCTCTATCCGCGATTCAACATGGCCGTGCCGGTCGAGGCCTTCAGAGAGCCCCTGCGACGTTACATAGAGACCGAAGGTTCGTGCCTCGACGGGGGGTATCCGACAGACCCTGTTTTGTTTTTCTACGTGTTATATTTTTTTTTTTCGTTTCAGATGTCCGGCACTTGGAGGAGCTTTCGACTAATGATCCTGGTGCCAAGGAAACCTGGAGTTTATACTTGACGCCTAGATCTAAGATTTAGACTTTCATAAATAATCATGGGTATGGAGTATATTGTAGGTTTTGTTGATTACTCTATTTTGGTGTGGTACTTCAAAGAGATTTTTAATTTACTCATGGCTGAATGTGACAGCTACGTCCAAATATGTGTAAGATGAAAATAACTTTTTTTATGAATTTTTTCCTCTTTTATTTCAAATACAACCGTTTCTACAAAAATAGAAAATTACATACTATTCGTATGCTTACATTTTAATGACTGTTTTTTTTATTTATTGATTTATTTTTTGAGAAAAAAAATTATCGATGGATAATTTGTCTGTATTAAATTTAACCACGTTGACAGTGTTTTAATTTAAATTAATTCCGCTGTATCGTTTGATAAAATGTTCATTTTTGACTTCGTCATTTCTTAACAGAACTTTTTGGTATAATTAGACTTTTAAATTGTATAATTAAGCTATTTTTAATTTAAACTTTTTTTTAAGGAATTGTGAATCACTCTTTGATCGTTTCCTGAGTTGAGATTTTATCACACCTATCGAATTAATCAAAATGTTAGTAAAGAAAAGTTCAAAATGACTCATTTGAGAGTAAATTATAGAAAAGAATCATCAAGCATATTATCACTATCTTTTTATTACAAATAACTTTTAATTTCATGTCAAAAACCAGTTTTGATAAAGCTGGAAGTCAACAAATATATTAATTCACACTTGTGTAGATTGGTTTATAATTCACTAACAAATTGATTAAAAATCGATGAACTTTCGGTTTTAGAAATTTTAGTTCGAAATTTTATTTTTTACCAATTTTTGGTAGAACTAAACAATAGTCAAATATGGAATGTTATACTTCACACAAATTGAATAACTCTTTTCCTAAAATAGATTCAAACATTGATCTATCTTATCATTCAAGTCGTAGTAGTTCAATACATTTTCCGTGAAATTGACACTAAATATAATTTTATAAGCATATTTCATAGCTTGCAATTAAATATTAAGATTTTAAGTGAATAGGCCCTAGAGATAGGCTTAGTGTACGTGTATGGAACATTCCAGATGAAAGAATAACAATATCAATGACATACTTTTTTATAAGCCGTTTAAATTATTTACAAAATTTGCTCTAGTGCCGATATTTTGAATGTAATATTTGGTTACATGTGTCATTTTTCAACGAACCAAGTTTAAGTGAAGAAAGGGTAAAAAGTGATAGAGACATTTTACATCGCACCTTGAGGACGGCATCTGAATCTTGAGACATTTATGTGACATTTAAGTTGAAATAAATGTATGATGTATTTAATAAAAATCAATTTAGGTCACAAAAATATAGTTCTAAGATTAATTTACTATTGCATGAGCATAAAACTGTAAGTAACAAGTTTAGTAGAAATATACAAATGTCAAGTTATTTTCGATAAAATAGTTGTTTTTAATGTGTAAAATTTCATTTTTTCACAGCAATCAGTCGATTTTATTCTATAACTATTATTTTAAGACTTAAAATAAGATCATTCACCTTAATGTAAAATCTATTATCGTTATAAATTACATATACAATTGCACTATTGATAGAAAATAGTTATTTGTTTATAAATTGAAAAATACTTATGCAATAGATTTGTTTGAAACAGAATCTTGTTTGGATTTTTAAAATCTCATCATTTTGTACGTTTCTAATAAAAAAATTATGCAAACAATGAATGCCGTGCATATGATTAAGCTAATTTTAATTGTCAATTTTTCAATAACTAGCTATAAACATTACTGCGTAAAACCATTATTTAAACTAATGTACCAGATTTCACGCTTACAGTAATAATTAAAATCAACAAATTTACATGTTTTACCCATAATGATGAATGCTCAAAGTTCATACATTTGTGATTTTAAAAGCAACGAATTGACTTTCCGAAAATCGGAGGGTTCGAAAATTAATTCTTTTTATTCGTTAACTAATTCTGTCTTTGTTCGTTTGGTTTGTTTCAATACTATATAGTTTTACAATCTTGCTACATGCAACGATTGAAATAAAACTAAATTGACATTTACTTGAATCAAGAGTGACCTATTTCATACAATGTACACATTTAGGCATTGACGAATATCTCAAAAAGTTAGTTTTGGCCGGTCAATCAATTTATCTAAAATCCTTTTTTATTTCTCGAGCAATAGCTTCGCGAGAAAATAATGGCGTGGAGATTAATTGCAAAGTCATTATCATTTTCAGCAAAACCGCCACAGTCATCATTGTTGCGGACTATGCATTCGTCATTGCAGATAATTTTACTGTTGATAACCGTTCGGATCTTTGGCCGACTGATGATGGGAGTCCTGAGTCATAGCATTGCCACCAGCCATGCCGGGAATACTGTCGATGCTGTAGCCGGTTATGCTGTCGGGGCTCTGGAGCGACGCTGCGTACAGTGGATTCATCGGCTGTGAATTAATGTCGAACTGTGTCGAATCGTACACGCTGTGGTTCTGTAAATGTACATATGCAATTAAGAAATCGATCAGAGCTGTAGTATTGATTTTTTTTTCGTCCATGTATCAGTCTTTTTCTTTCACGGGGAGAATGCTAAGTAAAGGACTTACAGTTTGAGAGTGTAACTAATTCTATAGTCAGTAACAAAAAAATTTTTTTTTTTCAAATGATTGTTACACTTACAACTGCATGATTCATTGAGTTTCGAATAAATAAAACGAGTTCCTTTGACTTAAATAATAATGATTTTTTTAATAAAATGTTGAGATCAATAAAGTATATACAATTTTCTTGAAAAATTGAAAGGGGCAAGTGTGGCTTCGATAGTCTTGTCGTAAGTATAAAAACCGTCCAACAAGTCCAACTGTATAAACATTTTACAAATTTTTGTTCTCCTTTTATACGCTTGACTGTCTGTACAAAATCACGTATTAAAAATTATAATCATATCGCTTAAATAAGCTAATTTGGTTTAATTAAATACAAAAATTCGCGCTCTTTCTTATAGAATTATTCTTTCGAATGGCAGTTACAATAAGTTTTACCCATTAGTTCTTATTTCTCTATTAAAGCTTTGAAGTTAAAATATATTTATGATATTTTGAAGAAATTAAGAATTTTATAAATAACTAACCAATGTACAAAACTAAGTACTATTATTGATAGTACTTTAAAGTTAGCACCATTAGACGAGGAATAAAAGTATAGTATAAACTCAATTTGTCACAGATCATTAAAAGCTCTACAAAGTCTCACTCTGAGATGATGACTCAGAAGCAGTATCCCCAAATCTCTTTGACATGGTAAGCACCTCGACATCGATCTCAGCTACACGCTTGCTAGTTTCTAAATTGCTATCGCTCTGATTGCCGTCAGGATATACATTATGTTTGCTACGATCATCACGAGACTCTAACACATATTTGTTGACTGCAACAGGCGAGAGTAACAATTTCGATGCACTCGCGAGTTCATCGTCACTGGCATTACGAAGGCGACTGAGGTCTGGCGCGCTTGTCTGACCACTAGCACTACTGGGACGTAGGCGCGCGCGAAATCCTCGCTTCGCACTATAATCGTGGTAAAAAAGTATCGAGTGAGAAGAGCTATTTCTTAATTTATTAGTCGGAAACTTGGTGCCGATGTTGGGCATACGTTGTGATTGAAACAGTGGCACATGAAAAGATGGAGTATGGACCTGGTATATGTAGTCGCTGTCAGTTTTGAGGGACGAGAAGCTCTGCTGGTGCGGCAATGAAACTGTGTCCTCCTCCATCGCGTCATCCATTTGAGGCTTGTATGAAAACATTAGAGTTGGATGCGTCACTCTGGAAAATGAACATTTTTTCAAAATTATTCACAATTTTCTATTGAGCAGCAAAAATTGATTTAACGTGAACATTTAAATACCCAAAAAACTCAGATAGGAACGTGTGGCAGACAAGAGGAATGAAAAGAGTCAGGTACACAGCAGCTGTTAAATCCACGACACACAAACCAGCTGGATTTTGAGTGTAATTCAGCAAACCTGCTCCTATAGATTGAATAAGATCAAGAGCAGCTAGCAGACCGATGTAAACGTAAAACCCCTTTCGATCTGAAATTGCATTACATTTCAAAAAAACATCATAACTAAATCAAAATTATTAGATATTTTATACTAACTAGGAAGTGTGAGTCGTTCCCTTAATCTAGTGTATGGTAGTATTAAAATAAACAAATATATCTGTAAAAAAAATTAATTTATGATATAAAAATTAGCAATTTAATGTTTCTATCTTTTGTTAATGATTCTCACCATAGAAAAAACAATGCTGCTACAAAACCAAAATAGCATTCCACCATGACCATATACGTATAAGTCACGACTGGGTATGTGGAATGTATCATCTGGGAGAACTAATTCTAAGGTTCCTTGAGTTATTGTAAAAACCAATGCTATAAAAGATGTTGCCAAGAGAACTCGACGTATACTTGACCGACTATCCAAATTACCTACAAAAAAATTTTCTATAAATGTGATTTTTTTTAGCATTACCAAATCAATTTGAATGAAACTTTACCAAAAGCGAGACAAAATATGACGACACTCATTTCCGTCGACAACAGGAAAAATCTGACTGTAACCCATAAAACTTTGTCCGTAGTACCACCAATGCTAGCAGTTGCATTAACAGTCATTGCTACTATGCATCGAATAACCGATATTACAACACTACATATAACTAGACCATAAAAAGCCAAGTATATTGGACTACTTGTAGCTCTGAGTTTGAGTCTTGCTCGATTAAATCTGATAGCAATGAACAGTAGAAACAGCAGATTTGGTATCAATATAATAATGTCCCATATTCTTACTCTAGAAAATAACCAAAGATTAACAATCAATAATTAAACCAATGTTCAAATGCTAAAACTGCAAAAAAATTACCTGGAATCTTTTATTTCTTTATAAAGTATAAGTTTACAAAAATGGTCTTCATCTTCTCCTGCATAACTAATGCTAGGATCAGTTGTCGTACTTATATCTCTGACTTGTCTCCAACCTTCTGAGACTTCCATTTCTCCATCACCATACATCTTGGAAATTTTAGTCAATGCGTAAGCAAATTTTCTGTTCAGCTCATGGTGTTTAGTCGGTTACTTAAGCTGTAATGAAAGCGGTCTACTTTTAGTTTTTTCTGTTTTCATATCATAGATAAACATTGACTTGGATAAAGTTATCTGCACTAATTAACGATGCTTCTTACGCAAGAAAGGCAGCTTGAAGACATATCGTTAAAAATTTTTATTTTCGATCGATTGTATCTTCAAGGCTCAGGCGCTTTTTATACAGATTTGATTATTTTGATAAGTATTAACGTAAAACACACTGGATACAAACGCAATTAAATGCGCGAGCTTGAGCCTCGAACGACATCGACACAAGCGACTTTGTGCATTGGTCTTTGTAATAATCGAAGATAACGAAACTAGCGCGCAACTGTATAATGATTCATCGCGAGAATTGCACGTAATGTATGAAAGAAAAGTCACTCGTTTGCTAATATAATTGACTTTCACTTGCTGCCTGCCCGCGAGGATGATCCGTCACGCAGAACAAAACAAATCGATAAACACACACTGATATCTACAGTTGCATTACGTTGTACTCGCGCTGCGTACATGATCATTACTGAACTCCGAAGGGGCGATCAGCGTCTGGTAAACGCTCATTTGAGTGTACATGCGCATATTATGATTCGCAATGTATGTCATTGGAAGCCGTCCCGAAAAAAAAGCCGAAAAGTCGTATCGTCCTCGAAGAGAGATGGTGCAGGTCGACTGTCTGCGTCACAGACGAGCAGAATTATAGCAGAACAAAGAAACCATTGCCAACTAACCTACAATGCCCCCGTGACCATGTATTGATATGGTCGGCGACCCTGCTTCATGCGTCGTGTATCACAATTCACAGGGACTCCTTTGCGAATCTTATGTCGAATCGTCCGCGTTTTGCTCACTGACACGCGCATCTAATCATCGATACTTGCTGCAAAGCTTTGACTACACTTTCCTTCTTTTTTTCTCTCTCTCTCTGTAACTCGTTATGTACTTTAATTGAACGTCTTTACATTTATATTTGCTGCCAGCCCGATTAGACAGCAGCGTTTGTGTTTACACTTGCGACGATACTTTCACTTCTGCAGTCTGCTGCGCGTCGTTATTCCCGACGCTTCTGCTATCGCTGCTGTATTGAATTTCTTTGGGCGACGACAACGACGACGATCCGTAGGACCAGTAGATGCTCCAGAGCGTGTATTTGAAGGCGATAACGAGCAGCAGGATCTTGGTCTGTGCTCGAGGCATCGCATGACTAATGTATACCGAAATAGAAACGGAGAACTGACATACCAAGTGCAGAGGGACGACTATACGAGCTGCACTCGCTTCTTTTTGTTTTTCTCTCTCCTACGCTATGGCTACTACCTTGTCCGTGTGCGGAGCAGTGCAGAGGCAGTCGAGTGTGGTGCCTAACACACTTGCAGTTGTCCCCCGCCTCACTGTGCACCGTGACGCATTGTTTGTATTGTACGCGCTACACAGACAGTCGTCATTCGGTGCGTTACGAATGAAGCAAAATTTTCTTACGTAAAAATGAATCGCACGAATTAGGGGGCATAAAGGACGATGGCATGTGGAGTTACGAGGAATACATTTATTTTTCTATATTGTTTCTTTGGTTTTTTTTTTTTATAAATGTTTTTTTATTCTACTCTCAACTATAAATAGATATACAGTTATGCATTTGAAGTTTCATTAAAATTATATTTACTTATTCTTAATGTATAATTTACAATCATATAGTTCAATTACATCGTTCCGATGTAATTCATTTATAGTAGAGCGATGGACGCTGAATTGATTAAAAATTTACGGAAATGAATGTGCGCTGCTTAGAGAAAACAAATTTCATATGTAATTCTCTAGATCATTTCACTTGAATATTTGATGAATCGCCACTTATTTCTCTTGTCGCAATTTGTAACGGATTTCAGCTGTTAATTTAAAACGAAAAAATCTTAGGCCCATTTACAGATTCTATCGCGATAATACATTCTCACAGGAGTTTACAAAAATTATATAAAAATCTATATATCAACATAATTTCATGTTATGAATTCGTGATTTCATTCGAATAAAAATTTCCGATAAATTACCAGATGACGATAAAATATGACAATACATTTTTTAAATAGATCAATACAATACACTTATATCGTTATTAAAAAAATAAAATTAAAAAAATATATTTAGCCCATAAAATTAAAAATTATTGTGTTACTGAAATGAATGCTACAATTTTTATTCAACCTGAATAATGCGCATTTTTAATTGGAATACACATTTTATGGGCCAGTTAAAAATATATGTTAAAAATACAACGCGTAATTTACAATGAACGTCTTACACTTACTTAGAACGTAATTTACACAAGAATCTAAGATTCAACATTTTAACTTCTCCGCTGGAAGATTTGAATACACCTTCTTGATTATCAATGGACAAAAGCGTACCCGTCGAGTCGCGATCCTCGCCCAAAATCACTCGGACACGATCATTTTGCGACGGAACAACAGGCTCGATTGCATCGTAATACATATTAACGGATTTGTCTTTGAAGGGTAAATACATGGTCACCATAGCGTCCGTTATAGTAGTGATGTATCCCTGTTGTCCGGCCAATCCTTCGTCAGAGTAGTCGTCGCGCACGCGGACCTCGAGATCGACCGACGGCCAATCAGAAGTGTAGGAGACAAAGGCCTGATTCGAGTCGCCCATGCTGGATCCGGGCGTTTGCGGATTGTACGGGCTAGCCGCTCCACCAGGTGTCATTGGACTGAAGCTCATCGGCGAGGCAGAAGTATAAGACTGCGCTCCGGTGGGGGTGTAGCCTGTTCCAGCCGGTGACGGTGTGCTGGTGCCGTAAGCTGCCGGGCTCGGGCTAGGATTGGCGCTAGCAGCAGGACTAGGGCTAGTTTGATAGGGTCCGAAGCTTTGCTCACTGCCGTACATGGTTCCAGGTGTCTGGGGTGTGAAAGGTCCTGACTGCGGATAGTTGGGAACGTAGCCCGGTGACGCTCCACCATCATCCATGCTGTAGTTGTCGAAGTTCTCGCCGCGAGCCGGGGTGTTGGTGACGGTCGGATCCCAGGCGCCGGTACGACCGGGGGTGCGTGATCCGTCGTCGTGCGAGGGCGTCATCGAGCCGTAATGAGGTGTACGCGAGCCAGTCTCGTACATAGGGGTGGCTCCTCCGTGCATGGGAGTTTTGTTGCCCCCGGAGTACATTGGCGTTTGTCCACCTGCACCGTAGGACGGGGTACGGCTGTAGCTGCTGAAGCCGCCCTCCTTCGTGGGTACTCCAACATTGGCAATATGCGAACGATCGACAGAGATCGTCTGGCAAGTCGAGTGAAGCTCGACTCGAGCTGTCGACTCTGTGGCATCCTTGACGATGCCGACGTTGCCTTTGTAGGGGCCACCCGTGATCTTGATGGTCGAACCGATGAGGTCGCGATCGCGACGAGCACCGATGTGTCCGCCACGACCCCGTCCGCCTCTGCCGCCGCCGCCTCTACCGCGCGCGCCGGGAGTCGATCCACCGCCGCCAGCTGCAGGATGCATGGGCGACGTGATTCTGGGTGACATGAAGCCAGAGTTGACCGGCGCCGAGGAAACGGCATTGTTCGGTTTGCCTCCGCCGGCTAGTTGCAGATGCCGGGTTTTACATACAAATATACCACCGTTATCGATGAACATTCTTGAGTGCAGGAACGCGAAACTTCTGTACAGATGCTTGATTTCGCCGCCTCTCCCGGAATGGGGTCCGTCGACCACTTTGACGATGTCTTTCTTGTGGATGCTGTTTTGTTGCGAATCCAACGCAACCGTATTTCGGTTCTCCTTTCTCTTGGTAAGACCTTGCGGTCTGGCTTCGACGACTTTTCCGTGCATCGACAAGATGTGAAAGTTTTCGCGCTCCAAGCGTACGATCACGCCGACGGTTTGTGGATCTAGTTGTACGAGATCGCCCCACTGGAATTGACCTAAACTGTCCACGCCGGTGGCCATGTCGGAGCACAGCTGAAGATCTCTGGGTAAGACCTCGAGCTCGTGCATGGACAAATCGGAAAATAGCACGACTCGATTTGGTTCAACGCGTAGAACTAAACCGGTGTCTCCTTCGTATCGACCTGCTACAACTTTAACGTGATCGCCCATGGTGAAGTATTTTTTCAATTCATTGGCGGTGAACATCAAGGCTTCCGTGAGCTCCTCATGCTTCGGCATGACCGTGATCATGTTTCCATCGACGGATACGACTTTACCTTGTAAATTCATCAATTCACCCTCCTTAACTTCGACGTTATCACCGGCGCTGAAACTGTGACCTGATGCTCCTGCACCTTCATCTTTACCAGATGATACACCAGTAACTGGAGCTCCACTGAGTTCTAAGTCGACACCCTCAGGGGTTTCTTCAAACTTTTCAAGTTCTGATAGAGTGGGTTTTATACCTTCTGTGAGCACTGCACTCATTGTAAAATTTTTGTACAAAAATCCCTTGCGACTGTATCGGCTCCCTTCGAAAATTAAAAAATCACCGTCACTTGTAACTTCACCACCGATAGATCGGATAGCTTCTGGATCAAATGGTTTCGCAGCAGGTCTTCTTTTCTTTTTCCTTTTCATTGCTTCACTTTCACTTTGAGCTGTTCTTAGAGCACCTCTGGGTCTGGTGTAATCAATTCTCGGTAGTAATTTAAGATGTACTTGATTTTGAGACAAATCCACATAATCAATTTGGGCAATGTCGTCTTTGTAAATGCCTCTCTTAAGCCTAACCCACTGTTTTGCTTTAAGTCCAGTTTGCTCTTTTATAACACGTAAAACATCAGTCATTTCTTTTATTGGAACCATTTGCTGTTTCCATTGCCCCATTCGTAAATTTCCAACATTTTCTATGGCAGCTTTTACGTGAGGTTGTTTGTAAGCTTCTATGTAAACATATCCTTTTACACCATCTGGTGCCACTACAGACTTAATTTGAATAGGTTCACCTGCAAAAAAAGTAGTTATTAGTAACTCTTTCATCTCATTTTTCTCATCTTTTAAAACATTCATGAAGTTTGTACAAATTTATATACTCACTTGTAAACTGATAAGTTAAAAATTTTCTCATCAGAAGCAGAGCTGTTGCTCTTTCTTCTCCAATACGACATTTCACCATCCATAAATTAGGATCTTTAACTCCTGGCAATAAAGTTTGCTGAGTGATTTCATCACTCATTTCCTCACCGCCATCACCAAAGCGATGTGCTGCTGCAGATTCATTTGCATATTTGTTTCTGAGATATTCTTCAATCTCATCTTCTTTTTGAGAGTCCCACAAGTTTGTGCCTCTTCTTCTTCCTTCAATTTCTCTAGCAGTAGGTCCCAGTTCATCAATTTCATTTGGTACAATACCAATTTCTTGTGCTCCATCTTCCCATTCTTCATCATCTTCAGGTTCGTCATCAACTTCAGCTTCTTGAATAATGAAATCATAAACCTGACCCTTCTTTCTTTTTTTCTTTCTTGGTCCTTCATTATCTTCTTCCTCTTCTTCATCATATTCATCTATATCTTCATCAAGTACCTCACCTTCGCCTTCTTCATCTCCGGAAGCTGAGCGAGACCTTGATCTAGATCTGGATCTGAATTTTGAACGACTTCGAGATCTTGAAAGACTTCTACTTCTGGAGCCACTGCGTGATCGTGATCTAGATGCAGATCTAGTTGGGCTTCCGGCAGGACTTCTTGATGCAACAGATCTATTGTCACTTTCACTACCTGCACGACGCGGGCTTCCATTTTCTGAATACACGCTCTCTTCTGAGTCAGACATATTGATTTTTCTAGCTGTGAAATGAATATATTTCATTAAAATCTATTCTGACTCAAGTAGTAAATTTAGAAGTTAATTTTGTTAATAAACTAGATTATGTTAACATAGTACAATATCAAATAAAAATTTTAATATTTTAAAGGAATAGTTATTTCAAAGGTTTTCTTGATGGGAAAAAATAGTAACATAGGTTGACACAAAACCTTTAAAGATAATGTAGTTGAGTTATTTTAAATTGGCTCACGTAAGCTTATGTTGAACTGCTAATAAACAGTCCCAATGGTATTAACAACACTATTTTTAGCTTACGTTGAAAAAAAAAAATATGAACTCAAGTGCATTGACACAGCCGTATCATGTTTGCTAGATTTTACTGATTGCAATTAAAATAATATTCAATTTTAGTTTATTTGAAAATTCTGTAAGAACATTTATGTTCTTCAGATAATTATAGCTTTTGAATCTTAAACAATTTTCAAGTGCACGTGAAAACTTTTTGTCGAGTACAAACATGCTTGTAGGTTATAATACCGTTCAATAATGTGTTCAATCCATACTAACTAGCGAATACTTCCAATATGAAATATAACTTACGCACCTTTACACAAAATAGACTATAATATTAAAATTAATGCCACTCGTCGTTAATTCACAAAATCACTTGGGTCCGACGTGCGGACGTGGTATTGGCTTCTTACGAACTGTTCCGCTGTCGAATGTTGTACTATTGAATTGACTTGCAGTCTTTAGGCGGTATGGTATAGTAGTGGTAGCGGTAGCGTCGATGAGTGTTTTTGACGACTCTTACCAACGCTCTCAGAAACAGCACCCACCAAAGTGAGCGCGAAATTTAAATGCATGTCAAGATTCAAGTTAAAATTTTTTTTGGCATTTATTAAAGTAAAAATATAATTGCTGACGCAATATTAGAGTGGTATTCATATTTATTAAAATAAATACAAAAAAAATTTACAATAGAATTTTAAATTACATCTTGACAAAAATTTAAATTTCGTGCTCACTGTTGGTTTGGCTGTTTTTGAGAGCGCTAGGCTCTTACCGTGCTGATGCGAGCTGACCTCTGGTGTTATAATAACTAAGAAATCTCGCGTGGGTCAGCTCGCAGCCGTCAGTTCCATTTGAAATAGGTTTGATAATGATCTTGAAAAATTATTTAACATATTTTATTTTGAAGCACAGATTGAAATATATTATAAAATTAAAGTATCACATACATGTGTGATACAAGGATGCAAAGTTCGTGGAGAATACAACATTTAAAGTTGTAGAATTTAAAATATTATACAATTTTGAATTTTTCTATGAATTTATAAAAATTTGTTACAAATTGGGCCAATACTCGATCATATTTGTTAAAGTGATATAAACGTTTGAGCAAGTTTTAAAACTATTAAAATAGTATAGTCGAATAAATTATTATACGGCGTTTTTCAAATGAATCAATGGAAAGATATCATGTTAAAAAGTCACCGGATATTGTCAAAAAGGGATGTTTTTAAAATCTTTTTGTAAACTTTGCAATGTCGGCAACAAATAGGACATAAAATTAAAAATTCCAAAAAACCTTCAAAGCGCCTACGCTTAAAGCTAAGGAGTATTGGTAATCATCAAGTAGTCCAGATCACGGAACTGTGAGAAATTGCACAAGCTCTTACGACCACTACTCAAAAATATACGTTTACTTATATTTTTCAAGTAACTTACAGATCCATCTACCTACTTCTCGAATATTTTAGAATGTACCAAAATACGTAATAAAATATTTATTATTAATACTACTAAGTAATACCGAATACACAATAGATATGCCTAAGGTACAACTCAATGGGCGAGAATCGATACAGAACGATCTTTTACTTCTCAGTACAAAGGCAGCAGAAAGAGTAATATAAACAGTAACAAAAGCTAAGTACATGTTCATATAATTGTAATTCAAATAGTCACAAATAATAAATAAAATTATATTCATACACGTCACAATATGTAAGTTCTGTGTTTGAAAATATTCGGACCTCAGCCAGAGTAACAAAGTCAGAAAAAGAGAGAGATACAGACAGACGGACAGACAGACAGATTAACCGCTATATGAAAAATCGGCCCAATCTTAGCTCGCGAAATTCCTGTAAAAGGCTCTTTGAAAACCTCTAGAATAACAAATTGAATATTCCCATATTGAACTTCTCAGAAAAATATTCAGAAGCAGTTTAAGGCTTGGACACCGGTCTCCTTAATACAATATCATTTTGATTTCGCTTAGCAGAATCATAATGTCATTCCAGGCTGTGGAGTACAAAAAAAACCACTATATTCGCATGTACGTATATCTACGATACCCGTAATTATCAGCCAAGGCTTTCTTTTTTCGCTTCACTCAGTGCATTTATTATATTTTCACGATTTTCACGAATCTCCCAGCAGAAATTCAGAGGCCTTGTATAACATGTTAGTTTGTTTTTCAAAAAGTACGCCGTACGAGCCATGCGAAAATCGAAACTTGACACAGGTTAAGAGTTCAAATAATTATTGAATTGACGGTTATTACGTAGAGAGCTTATGTGAAAAAATCGAGCCAGTGGAAAACGTTAATTCATTCATTCCCGCACATCGACGAATGTGTTCGACAAAAAATGTCCCGTGCGACCAACAATCAAGATCTTGGTGAGATTTTTGATACAAAAAAAAAAAAAACGTTCAGCGAACGATCATACGCCGAATTCTGTCACAATTTTAGGCCCGAAGCTGAGGCCCGATCCATCGTGGACGGGCCCTTTGAACATGAAGTGATCAGTGACCGACGTAATCTCGCTGATTATATTTGTTCTATGTTTCATCTGTCGGCTCGGTGTGCCCCTTTACAGTAAGCCAACAAAAAAATCACTTTTCCATACATATCCATGACACAAGCTATGCCCTGACGATTGTGAACTATTTCCCGCGCAGCTCTCTCGAAGGGAGCAGTCCAGATTGAATATCCAGACAATTTCTATCACGTACAGTTGAGTTACGGAATAATTTCATACTGCGTTCGCGCGAGTCGTCGTATACTAATTAAAAATACCACCTCGATCTTTGGAAAAATTTGCAGATCGGTCGCGCTGGGCTCGCTCGTGTTCACCGCTCTCATGTCGACGCTGTACATCTGCCTGATGAGAGTCGCGCCGCGGATCATGGTATACGCCTCGATCGGACTGATGCTCGGCTCGCTCGTTTTCGGCATCGGCTTGTACGTCTACAAGTGTGCCGTTCAAGGATATTGGAAGTGGGATCACTGGATGCCTTTGGTCGTGCTCTGCTTATGTCTTCTTGCGCCATTATCGGCATTGACCTCGAATGCGATCAACAAATACAAGCTGGCCAGCCAAATCATACCGGAATTCGCCAAGTGAGTGAAATCGTTTACCGATTTTTTCATCGAAATTACATCCAACCTCATGTACTTTTTTCGTCCTTGAGCTGTGCTGTTCTTCCCGTCGCTCTTCCTCTTCGCGGTACTTATCTCCGCGTTCTTATGCTGCTTAGTCATCGGGGGCTTTTATATGTTCATGGCTCTCATGGACGCGTTTCCGATGTGGTTCTTCGTGGCCTATGGCATCGTGACTTCGTTTTACACGCTTTGGCTCATGAACGTCTTGCAGGCTTTATATTCAACCTGATCGTCGCCGGGGTCTACGGCACCTGGTACTGGACGACGGACAAGCGCCAAATGCCCAATTACACGCTCGCGGCTATTAGGCAAGCATCAAAATTAAGTATTTCAAACGAACGCCACGAGTTGAAATTAACGCCGGTCTTTCGCAGATATCACTTGGGATCGGTAGCGATCGCCTCGATTCTCTACCTGGTCTGTATGATCATCTGAGAATGCAATTATGGCGACAACAAATAGGTCGAAGCTATGGGCGAAGGCTTGGCGTTCGAGCAGATATGGCGCTCCACGGCGGGCCCCTCGTCGAGTCCGCCAAAACGGCTCGCAATCTCTGGCGCAGACATTACGCGTGAGTCAGCGAGGTCATCGGGGTCGGTGACACTTTTACTACGGCGTTCAGAAGATCCTGCAGCTAAATATATAATTATACACCTCTGCTCCTCTCCCCTTAGAAGATCAAGTGTACGATGCTCTNTTCATAAGTTTGACATTTTACGATTAGGTGCTCATAACCAATAGCTTTGGCACATCGTCTAACTTTTATAATTCTGCTTTCTTGATTTCAGCAGTGGCCTCTCTCTCACATCGACGTCGTTGTCCTCATATTCAAGATCTTTTGCTCAAACACGTCTCACCATTTTGACGTAATTATCAGATCAACTAAGCAACGAAGCAATTATTAAGTTCATTGACAGCTGTTAAATACTTGGTTGGTGTGATTGGGCTTCGTCTGCAGCTTCGTCGAACGTTGGAGTGCCAGACTCAGTCAATCTACGCTGCCTTAAAGAATAGAATCTGCCCCGCCCAATTTCTATAAGTACGCCTACATTTCTCTAACTTATATACAAGTTTTTAAAAATTTCAATTGATTTAGGTGTTTGATACCAATGGCTCAAAGTGCAATGGAGATTGCTCAAGCCATTAGTGCAACAGCAGTTGCTGGATCTGTCATTGTTGTCCTTTATGAGGCTGCTAATGGGTTGTTAGATCTAGTAATTTCAACCATCGATTGTGCAGCAGAATCGTGTGTATCTACCCTAAACATCAACATACTAGGCGACGTTTCAGGAAAAGCTATAGTTAGTACCGGGCCAATGAAAATTGAAAACTTCCATATGAATCAAGTTTAAACCACTTGGTACTTGATACTGTTACCCGAAGAATATGTTTTGCTCCGCGTACTTCTACATTCCTGCTCCTTATATTAAACAGTTTTACAAAATTCTACTTAAATAAAGACTACTACCAATGATGTTACAATGTCCAAAACAATACAACCTCTTGAAATAAGTATGGAATTCGTGAAAGGCATTAAATGTGTGGTCTATGTATTCATAAATAGCAGTAGATCTCTTGTAATACTAATTCAGTAAAGCACCTGTATGTACTTCAGATAATCAAACCTGAGCAAATACTTATGTCTAATAACTACAGTATTCCAAATTTTTCAAAAATGTTTGTTATAAAATTTTATACGCTCAATATACAGGTTTTTAACGATGAATAAAACTATTCAAAATTACCATTGATTGTATTTACTAAAATTTAATATAATGCAAATGGAATACAGTAATTGTCAAATTCTATGAATGATCAGGTGAATGAAAAATTTGTCTACTGCTCTATTTATGTTAAGTTTACAGTAAAAATTACTTGAACAATAAAGAATTATTGATTAAAATACGTTCGACAAATTTATCAAATGAATTCTAGATAATAATGGTAAAAAACTCTATAATTTAGTGCATGATTTGTATTGCATTGAACTAGAGTGTGAGCGAGAAGAAGGAACTTCTAACGACATTTTAAATTATAAATAAAACAATAGAAATCTTCAACCTAACCTCTTGATGTGTATGGATAAAAACATTTCATAAGTTTGACATTTTACGATTAGGTGCTCATAACCAATAGCTTTGGCACATCGTCTAACTTTTATAATTCTGCTTTCTTGATTTCAGCAGTGGCCTCTCTCTCACATCGACGTCGTTGTCCTCATATTCAAGATCTTTTGCTCAAACACGTCTCACCATTTTGACGTAATTATCAGATCAACTAAGCAACGAAGCAATTATTAAGTTCATTGACAGCTGTTGAATACTTGGTTGGTGTGATTGGGCTTCGTCTGCAGCTTCGTCGAACGTTGGAGTGCCAGACTCAGTCAATCTACGCTGCCTTAAAGAATAGAATCTGCCCCGCCCAATTTCTATAAGTACGCCTACATTTCTCCAGCTTATGTACGAGTTTTTAAATATTCCGATTCATTTATAGAAAATTGCTACCATGAATTCTACAGCTCAAAAGAGACCAAACCGTCCTGTTGATTTCAAGTTGTTCCTCTACATATATATGATATTATCATTCTACAGCTTTATAAGCAACTACATACTAATCCAGAGGCATTGTGTCAAGAATCGAGAACCCTAAGATGGAAAAAGCTGCCAGAAAACTATATTTGCTGAGAGTGGAAAGAACATACTCTCTTGCAAATGCGTGAATAACAATGTTTACATGTAGTATTAATTTAGTAAAACACAATAATTACTTCAGATATTAGAGTCTGGTTAAATTCTCAAGTTCAATGACAAATGTACTTGAAATTTTTAAAAAATTTTGGTTGTGAAATTTTATATATTCATTAATATAGTCACTTTATTTATATAATATTACCATTACTTGTGTTTGCAAAAATAAGAAAAAAATTGAGTGATGAGAAAGAAAAATTTATGTTATTCTCTTGAACATTACATCGGTTTAAATATTTAATTAGTATGGGCTGCTATCTCAGACTGCTGTGTCCACGCAAAGGATTTGACAAGCTCAAACATATTTATCTTTTCATTCCTTATGAGGCAGGTAAACAATTGAAGCACTAAGACACTTATTCAATTAACGGCTCAAGCAGACTCATGAAAAATGAATAATAGTTCCATGTTATTACACTTTTACGTAAAATACACATGAAGGTAAGTGAAATAACAATCAGTTAGAAACAGCACAAAGTAATGCTCAATACTTGCATATTTTGTTTAAATAGAAAACAATAGGCTTTAAATATTAATTTAAGAAAAGCTTCAATTAATAAATAGATAATTTTGAATAGTAATACGAAAGTATGAGTAGTAATTTCGTATATATGAATAGTAATTTTTTCTTTCTTCTCCGTGTACATATATTTTTGAAAAAAATCGAACACATCCGTTCATTACAACATGAATTCCGTCGTTTTTTTATTTTTCATCTTAGCAACGAAACGCATGAAGAATAACAATTTGGAAAAGGTTATTATTAGAGCTCGATAAGTATTCATCATAACGTTTTAATCAAAAAATTTTGGCAAAGTGCGTTTTCAATGCAGTCATCCAACAATCGAGATTTGGGTAAGATTTGTGAAAAATAAAGGTCAAAATATCGTTATCCATGGATTTTCCAATCCTTTCAGGCCCAAAACTAATCTACGATCCATCATGGACAGGTCCTTTAAACACGAAGCGGTCAACTACGAACCTATGGATGTTGTTTCCTTTTATCCTCGTTCTCCTCAATTGGATCAGAGTAGTCTCTTTGGGTAAAAAAATTTTGCATTACGTATATGTCGGATGATGTGCAATAAATTTGCGCTGTTGATTGATAGTTACATTATAAATTGACAATTTTTTCAAACTCCATTTATTGATTTTTTATCAAATAATCTTCAATTAAATACATATGTTCGAATCAGTAGAATAAAATCAATAAACAATTAAATTTTTCATATAGCTTTGGGGACGAATGTCATCAACGATTTTACTACCCATGCCGAAGAAACATTAAGCGACGAAAAGTACTAAGAATTATTATTTAAATTGACCTATTCAGGAAAACGATAAAACTAATGACAATTTTTAAATTTTCAGATGGATCGTGCTTGGCACATTGATACTCATCCTCATTTTATCAATTCTTATGATTGCCTTTTTGAGAATTGCAACCAAGCTTCGTCGTTTGCGTGTTTACTTTTTTGTGTTTTCTCGTAAATATTCTCTTAATAGGCTATAAAATCTATCGCGCAATAAGCATCGAAGGTCAGGCAGCACAGAGCGGAATCTCTGCTTTTTTTATGATCTTTTGTCTGCTATCATTGTCAGTGGTCTGTTTGGTGAATTTTTATCACGGATTCGTCGGAATGGCTTGTAAAATCATACAAGAAACGATCAAGTAGGCATTATTATTACTACTCCTTTCAGCACCCCCATAAATCCTGTATAGGATCCATGTGATTTTGAATTCAACTTGTTTGCAGAGCTATCATGTTCTTCCCATCGCTCACTTTGTGTTCACTGCTGCTCTACATGCTTATTCTCGTCACGACAGTTCTCGGCGTGGTTGTTGGCTCTTACCTCGAAAGGATGCTTCCTAACCTTCAGTCACCTTTTGATCACGTTTGCAATCAACTTGGAAATGCCTTCGGATGCCTCTGGCTCACTTCGTTCTTTTTTTCCTTCTTTCGCGTGGTCATCTCCGGGACTTATGGTACCTGGTACTGGACGAGGAATAAGCAAGAAGTACCTAAATTTACACCTATGCGGTTCATCTGGATTACTTTGAGGCATGTATGCGTACACGCAAATTAAATTTATACATGACTAATTTGACATTTACTTAATATAGATACCATATTGGCTCTGTGATAACTGGTTCATTGATCACACCGATCGGCAATTTAATTCAAGTTTTTGGTGTGTCTCACTTGAATTTTGCCGACCCAAGTGAAATTAATCATTCTACTTTTACAAAAATTTTGCAAAGTATCTACAATAGCATAGGGATGATTAATGATCAGGCTCTTGTTTACACGGCTCTCCGTGGCCAGGAATTCGGCGTGTCCGCCAAAACTGCCTTCAATATTTGGCGCAGAAACCACACGAAATTCGCCGCAATCGATCAAGTTGGTAGCAACTTTCCCTTACACCTATAAAATTATTGCGTAAACAATCATAAGACTAATTGACTTTGTTTTTTCCTTTCGTAAGCTCACCCGCGCAATTATATTCATGGGCTACGTTTCAATTGCATGTCTCTCGTTGACCTTTTACTTGGTCGCGAAAGTCATGACATGTGGAAATCAAAGCATTCTGTTTATGGGATTTGTTGCACTTTCGATCTTTATGCTGATCAATTCAATTATTTTGCTGATGGATGTGGCGATGGATACCGTTTTAATCTGTGCACTCGAGGATTTCGAAGTCAACAGCAACAGCGCCAGGCCTTACTACATGTCGGATAAGCTAAAGGAGATGATTCTTGAGAGCAGAATGGAATAATATCTTAACGTCGAGGCTAAACTACGAAATTTTCTAATTTTTAAAGTTTCAAATAATACGCTAAATTTTCGTTTATTACATTTAATGTATTCAATGCACAGTTCGTGATTAAACATTTACTCATGTATACATTTACTAACAATGAGTAACTCAAATATAGAATTTAAAAAATATAAGCATCGAATTTAAAAAAAAACCATTCCGTTCGTCCGTAAACGGGGAAAGTGTTTATCTGAACCTGAAAAAATGAAAAAAACTTTCAAACAATTTTATTTTCTCTAGGTTGTCTAAAATTTGATAGAAACATGAACAGCAGCTCTGTTTTTTGTCATTTTCTGATGGAATATCCGTGATTACAATTATTCGCTTCAGTTGTCGAGACACGCTAAAACAAAATATAGGCAAAAATAATTTAAATACTTTCAATTATTATTCTATAAAGAATCTATGCATTCCGAGCTTGGAAAAAATTTTAATTAGTTAATTCATGCGACAAATTCAAATCTACAGCAAAAACATCGATTACAGATCACGCATTTTATCATAACTTTCGAAACGATTGGCCCCGCATTTACCTACATTCCTACGTATAAGCGAGTCTTTAAAAATTATACATGTTTTAAAACATTTCTACCATTGGTACTTCAATGCCAAAGAAAGAAGAACCTGTGCTCATGAGTTTGATGACTAGTATAAATGTTCTACATTTTCTTATGCACTTTCTAATTGTTGCCAGTCTCTGAGAGATGCTGGAGGAATAATACATCAACTCCAAGAGTCCCAATATGAAAACACGGCCAGAAATACGTACAGGACTCGGAAGAACATGCCCTCTTCATAATATATGCATAAATAACATTAATGTCTATGTAGTACTAATTTAGTAAAGAATATTGCACTTTCAATAATTAAATCTTGTCAAATTCTGAAGTTCAATAACACCATTACACGAAACTTTGCGTTTTCATCCTCGAACACGATTCAATTTTAGTCCCTTTTTTACATTTTGCTATACGAACAACAATCTTTTATAAATATAAAATGTATGAAACAGAAAAGCGAATTAATGAACAATGCAACTAAACAAGTTCATAATTTTGGATGGAGTCGATTTTGATTATTGATTCAATCGTTTTGATCCATCATCCATTTGCATATCCTTCTGCATATTGCAAAATAAACCTCGCATTCTACGTGTAACTCAAATTGCACCTAATTTACGATATAAATATATACCTACACATAGGGGCTAAGCCATAGTTAGCGTGGTGGTCAAAAAAATTTTTGATGTGTAATTTTTCTTAAAGTATGTACTTTTGAAGAGTACATTGAAAAGTGAAAATCCTGAAAGTTTCAGCCTTCTAGATCCAAGTTCCAACCCTGATATTCTGCTTGCAACTCTGGTTTTCTGGGGTTAATATGAAAAAATTGTTGAATCATGGTTTTTAATGTAAAATTTGATGTAGAATTCAAATTTGTACTTAAAAAATCATATTAACAACTTGAAACCCTATAAAAATGATATTTTCCTGCATTAATTATACAACTGTACAAAAATAAAAGTGTTCGTATCCTTCGATTAGGCCAATATTGTAATATGTTCATCGATATATCAAAATACAACTTCTCATATAAATTTTGGTTATCGGCAGACAAACAGAATTCATTATTGAGCTTAATATGAGTCAAGAATCAAGGAAAATTAGAGAAATCCCATATTTCTGATGACAGCTCTATGTAGTCCGAGGCGAGTTTTTTGAGCTCTTTACTTCCTAGAAGTCACACGGGCAGTTCATATAGCAGCTCTTTTTCTCTCTCACACACTCTCCCTCTAGAAGTTATATGGCCGATCTATGTGAGCTGCACATTGCATCTTACTGCACACATATACGCATACACCCAAACATGTAGCATGGGCACGTCCATATTATATAATTCCAGTGACGGACTGGGATAGGTTTTTGGATCGGGAGTTTTGTAAGTGCGGCCCAGTTTACTTACAAAACCGGCCTAGAGAGGCCCACCGGGAATTCTCCCAAATTCCCTAAGGCCAGTCCGGCTGGGTTAATGATAAAAAACTATTGATTTTCATTAAGAATTCTTTATTTATTAAAAATAATTCATTCATAAACGAAAATTTAATGTTTTTACATTGTTCTAATAGTGTATCAGAAGTTGTTTTACTCAAATATGTTTATATGTCATGACTTTTATTTGCAGCAAAAAGCATCAATTTCTGTTCAAGTTCTCTCGTCTTTTGTGCTCCTCCTTTTTCTTTTTGATGCGAAACATCTATATTCGCGTTTGGTATCAGGGGTAAACCCGTAGAAACCGAGCGTCCGTCCGTCCGTCCGTCCGAGCGAGCGCAACTTTGGTAGTATAACTTAAATAGTATAACTTAATAACTGCCTATACAGCGTGGGTTTGCGCTACGCGCTGTGATTGGCTGCCGCGCCAGCTTCATAGAACTGCTTTCTGCTGCTGGCCGCTGCCGAAACTCGACGCGCGTATCTCTTTCTCTCTCGCTCTCGCACGTGCGTATGACTGTGTTTACGTATACACACGAGACAACGTAACAACATAAGCAACAGCAGTCAGCTTAGCTCACGGGACTGACTGCGTTGAGATATTTTTCTCTCTATTACTTATGCATTTACGATCCTCTCTTAAAATAATGATTAATACATAGAATACGTATGTGCTGTCTATGCGTATACGTTGCGAGACCTACGCACTATCATGCATGAGCTACATCTATGAGCGTGTGTCTTCTTAAGGGAAGTCGACGTTTTTATCATGTTATATTAACATTCAATGAACGATAACCGCTCAATGCACTAATTTAATATTTTAATTCATCAATAAATTATTTTTAATATAAATGTACTTTCGAAGCTACAATTGAAAGTTGAAGAAAAATTAAAGTATGATCCTTTTTTTAAAAATGTGATTTCCAATAAAAAATAAAATACCTATTCAAAAAGTAAATACTAGAAAAGTAAAAAAAAACAAATTAACGACAAATTAAAAATTTTAAAAATTAGTAAAAAATCAGCTGTTCAAGAACAGCTGCAAGATGTGAAACATCTTTATCAATTAATTAAAGTGTTACAGCCTGTGATGCAACCTTTTACTATAAAAAATAATTATAAAAGAAACCAATAAAACTGTGAGAAGCAGCTAGCGAGCAGCTACACATGTATTACAATTTAATGTATCTCGCGCATCTTCTATGCATAATTTCGATGACACACACGACAGGTAAAAAGTGACATCATTTCGGACACGCGCAGCCAGCGTGAACAATGCTGAATTGAGCGGCCTAAAACCATCACCTGTTTCTTAGGCCTCTGTTAATTAAACGTTTGTAAAACTCTTGCAAAAATACAATTCGCACGACAAAGAAATGCACACGCGCTGCCGCGAGATGAATGAATATCGGAGAAAACCTATAAAACTGCGGTGACCGCGGCTCCACCGATTTCGAGAAGAGTGTGGCCCTGGGGTTTTGTAAGGTACACGTGCATGCAAGATATGTGTGAATGATCGACACATATCGAGCCGAATAGCAACCGCTAAGGCGGGGGCACCCTTATAAAAATTTCCTATAGGACTCCTGTAGGACTTCTGTAGGAATTTCGCGAGATCCTATAGGAAATTTTTATGAGGGCAAATTTAGGTGCATATAAGAAAAGAGTCTCAGCAGCTCCTTCATATCTACGAAATCGCACACTGCGTATCGTGAGCTCTGTGGTTCCTCCCATTTTGTGAGGCGCGCATCGAACCATTATGCGCAAGCTCTGTCATTTCCGATTTTTTATACGGCTTACAGTCAATCGCCATTCGTTGCTGTAGACTCTTAGATTTTGAATCTTTCGAAAATGTGATTAAACGTTCATAGTCTTTCAACGAAAAGTATTGTCCAACGCTGTACTTCTGCTCAGGCAGATAGTCAGCAATGAGATATAAAATATTGTTGTATTCAACGGGAGTGACGTGCGAATAAAAATATTGTAACCGCACGAGCAAGTGCATCTGCGCGATCCAGCCTTCATCCAGCCTTCATCCAGACTTCAACCGGGCAGCCAACGACTCCAAGCAGCTAGGACGCAAACAGTATGAGTATGAGTATGCGTGTGTGATCTGTAGCGAACTATGCTGCTTGTTAATTATGAATAATTATTATTATGGTAAACCATCTCACTATCAAAATAATATATTAACTTCAACAAAAAATGATTAAGTCTTCCTTTATTATCGCTCCACCTCGGCAACAAGTCTAAGAAATAAATAATTTATTGTTAAATCCCAATAACGGGATGTAACAAAAGGAATAAATTTCAGAAACAAATAAAATTTGGAAATCACTTCTCAATCTAAACAAAACAAATTGAAAATTGAAAAGTTGAGAACAAATAAATTTAAATAAAAAAGCTAGAATTCTGAAATCAAATTAGTAAAAACTAGAAAAGTAAAACAAACAAATTTAAAACAAATTGAAAATTGAAAAAATTAAAACACATGAAAATTAATAAATCAAATAAGTAAAAAAAATTAAAAAACAAATTAGAAACTAGAAAATCAAAAAAAAAAAAAAAAAAAAAAAAAAAAAAAAAAAAAAATTAAATAAAACAGAAAAGTCAAAAAATACCAGCACAAGTATCGATGTTTCACACCTGGTGCTTTAATGTTCGAGAAACCACTCTGATTACTTAACTCAATGAGAAGGAACGATTTATTTATGCACCAGATGTGAAACATCGATACTTGTGCTAGTATTTTTTGACTTTTCTGTTTTATTTAATTTTTTTTTTTTTCGATTTTTTAGTTTCTAATTTGTTTTTTACTTTTTTTTACTAATTTGATTTATTAATTTTCATGTGTTTTTTTTACTTTATTATTATTTTTTTTCAATTCAAAATATAATTAATGAGAGCTAAGCATGTATTATACTACGAGACATTCCTTTTGTAACTTTTCTTTTCACACGAGCCAGCTATGTATAATATATTATTTACTAGGGATACCCGTCGTGGCTTTGCTCACGTTAAATTTGTGAGGAGTAGGAGAATATTTATAAAAACAAAATAAAATTTTAGACTTTTTTGCATAAAGACATTCAGAAATATATTTAC